GGCGGGACTCGCCCGGGCGTCCCACGCACTAACCACGTCTTTCCTTTCCCTCCCAGGGCCGCGTGCCGAGCGCTCGGCCTCACCGTGCTGGTGGACGCCCGTCGCTGCTCACCCGTCCCCGCCCTTTTTAAGGCTTTCAACCTACTGCAGGTGAGCCCTAGGAACAGCCCTGCCCCTTTGCTACGGTTGCCAGCGCAACATATGTTAAAATACCAGAATTTCTCACAGTAGAGAAATTCCATTTTCCAACTAGAGCTAGTTTTGCACAACATACAAAATGAAATAATAGTGTAAAAGCACTGTTAGCACTTTTAAGGCATTTTAAATTTGTAGATCTCATTCATATGAATGAATAAATAAGGTAAATATATATTAGAGATTTGTGTATCTGTCTGTCTGTCTGTGAGTCTGTTTGTTCAAGAACTTCTTGTAAATGGTAATAGCTAGACTGCCAAATTTGGTATGTAGGTTCCTCTTATCCTAACTTAAAGCAAGGTCAGGAAAATGGGATGTGCCTGGAATCTAATCGTTTTCCATAACATGGAAATGAAGGGGGCTGTTCAGAGGGATGTAATACTGAAGAGTGACCACAAGGGGCAGCTGCATCAGGAAGGCCATGGACAGCTGGGGAAGGGTTTGTCATCTTGCCAGCCATCGTCCAGGTAAGTGGTCTGTCTTCCCCCAAATCCCTTTCCTTCCAGCCCTTGGGCCCAGCGCTGGATTGGGGAGAGGGAGAGGAAGCCCTGCCAGCCCCACCGCCATGCCCCTCCTCTCTCCGGAGCATCGCCAGGGCCATGTAGCACAGCTCATAGGAGCCACAGGTGCCTGACCTCCAGAACCACTGGGATGCCCTGCAGGGAGCGCTGACAGGAGGTCTGCACCTCCCACTTCCCTGGGTCCAGGCCAGCCCCCCTGCAGGAGCCAAAGACCATCCCCCCCAGCACTGCTGGGCTGCCCAGCTTGGAGTGCTGACAGGATGTCTACGCCTCCCTCCACCCTGAGGATGGGCCTGGGGAGTGCCAGTGGAAGGCCTCTGCTATCCCTCCAGTCCCGGGTCAGCCTCCCCTTCCTCCCTGGGCCCCCCCTCAGGGCTGTCTCCCTCCCTCTGGTCAGGTAAGTCTTCTAGTAGACATATAAAAGAAGGCTTGCCTCACCAGAAGGCCTGTCTCAGGGATGTCCACCTCTCCCTTCTCTGGATGAGGCTTCCTACCCCCATCCCAGTGGGACAAAAGGTCTCTAGGGCTATGTCTAGACTGCAGGCTTCTTTCAAAAGAGGCCCTTTGAAAGCATCTTTCGAAAGAGCCTCTTTCAAAAGATCGCGTCTAGACTGCAGGCGGGTCTTTCGTAGAGGAAATCCGCTTTTTCGAAAGAGAGCACCCAGCGAGTCTGGATGCTCTCTTTCGAAGACGGCCTCTTTACATTGTAGAACGCCTTCTTTCGAAAGAGGAACTTTCGAAAGAAGGCGTTCTTCCTCGTGAAACGAGGTTTACCGCCATCGAAAGAAAAGCCGCGTTCTTTCGAAATAATGTGGAGCCAAACCCTGCGAGCCAGGGTGGCTGGAAACAGAGTTTACGGGACTGCGGGAAACTTGGCCACCCCCATGCTAAGTGGACACCCGGCTAACGGAGATCATGGAGAACTATGGATGTTGCCAGACCAGAGAGTGCCGGACTACAGAGGTTCAACCTGTAGTGCAAACCTACTGTCAGGGATAGCGGGTTCAAGCCAACCCTTTTTCTTTTTGCACAAACCAGATTTAGTATCAGTAGGTGTGAACTGCTGGAATTCTCGTGAAATTGACAGAGCGACATCAACTTCCACCCGCTGAGGATAGGGTCCTCATTTTTCTGATCTGTTAGCTGCAACTAAGTGGGGGAGGAGGGGAGATAACTGAAACAGCATTGGAAAAAGCAGCCTGCTCACACCAGCAGCCTTCCCATACACAGGTGAGGGTCTGGAGAGACGGCGGGACTCGCCCGGGCTGCCCACGCACTAACCACGTCTTTCCTTTCCCTCCCAGGGCCGCGTGCCGAGCGCTCGGCCTCACCGTGCTGGTGGACGCCCGTCGCTGCTCACCCGTCCCCGCCCTTTTTAAGGCTTTCAACCTACTGCAGGTGAGCCCTAGGAACAGCCCTGCCCCTTTGCTACGGTTGCCAGCGCCTGGCCCTGAACGTCCCTGCCATCCCAGGTTTGGCTGCGGTCAGGCCCCGTTTCAGGGGGACCCTCCTGCCTGCACTTCCCAGGAAAAGCCAGAGCCCTGCCTTTGGGGGGAAAAGAGCTGCCACGTTCAGCCCCGGCGAGAGCTTTGCCCCAGTCGAAGCGCTGGCTGCTCTGAACTCACAACGTGCCGCCCCAGTTCCGGTGAGTGTCTCTTGGCATCACGGTTCTGGTTTCACCCGTCAGCTGCCGGAACCGCTCGTGGCCCGTTGCTGCCAAACGCAGGTGAGCAGTGAGGCAGAGAGGCCGGCACGGGGCTGGCGGGGCAGTCCGCGCTAGGGAGGGGGAGGATGTCTGTTGGTCTGGCAGGGGGTGAATGATTGGAACCAGACATGCGGTAACTTAATCTTGGTCCAGGTCAAAGGCTTTCATGTCAGTCAGCTGGAAAGCCAGTGCCTGGAGCTGACACTGATCAGACCTTATTTCCCATCTGTTGCTCGCAATCCAAGCAAGATAACGAGCCGGAGCTGCAGCTAATCAGAGCCAAGCAGGTGCCTCCTGGCCCTGGCCTCGTGGCCCCCGCTGCTCCCACAGACTCGGAATGAACCCGGGCGTCTGTGCATGCAGAGAGGGCAGCAGCTGACTGTGTGTGTGGTGCTTTGCTTTGCCACACCGGCGGGCAGGGGCTGGGCCCAAGCAACATGCTTTTCCCCCGGGCAAGGGTGCAAAGAGCAGGATGGGACCCAGTTCTGGGCGTGGGATGCAGGGCCCCGGGCCGCGCGGGGACACTGGTGGCTCTGGGCAGCGCGGCCGAGGGGGCCATTCAAAGTCTGGGGCACGATCCGCTCTCTGGAGTCCACGGGGCTAGGTTCAGTAGGTCTGGACACTGCGCTGCCCCCCGGAAGGGGCCAGCAACAGGACCAGCTCCTAGCCAGGGGGGCCGCAGGGCTCTGCACGCTGACCCCCCTCCCAGGCAGCAGCTCCGCACTTCCATTGGACAGGAACTGGCCAATGGGAGCCGGGAGGGGGTGCCTGTGGGCGAGAGCCGCGTGGAGCTGCTTGTGCACCTCCGCCTAGGAGTCAGACCCGCTGCCAGCTGCTCCTGGGGCGCAGGTGGTCTGCAGCGCCAGGAGAGGCAGGAGGCTGCCTTAGCCCCCTGCTGTGCCGCTGCCCGGGAGCTGCCGGAGGTA